TGCGGCCGGGGTTTGATCCTCAGCACCACATACAAACAAAGATGTTGTGTCCGCCGATGAATAAATATTAAAATCTTCTCTCTCAAAAAAAAATCTTAAAAAATAAAATTATTTAAAAAAAAAAAAAGCTTGTTGCATTAAATCAAGATCTCATGGTAGCAGAAATGGGACCTAAACCCATCTATTTCCAAGGCAGTAATTACTGACTACAAATACCAGCAAGCTTTGCCGTGCCCACTGCTCAAAAGGCACCCTCCCCAGGGCGCAGTCTCAGCGGTTATATCCAAAACCCAACCCGAAGCCGCCTCTGCCCACCCGCCAGCCAATGAAAAGGCTGTTGCTAACATGCCTGCTATATTTTTAGCTTTCGGTGCTTGGGTACCAGTGGTGGGCTGAATCTCGCTGCCGTTGTGAACGCGCGAACTGGGGAGGGGAGGAGAAAGAAGGGGCGGGTGAAGCGAGGAAAGGCGGAGGGGCGTGTGTATGACGCGCTGCAACTCGCTGACGCAAGAGGCAAGTAGTCCCTGGAGGTGTCCCGGGGTGGAGCGCTCTGAATGTGGGGGATGGTGGCTGTCGCCCTCTGGCTCCCTCCCGCCTCCCCGTCTCAGTGGAGTTTGCCCTCCAGCCCGACGTTTCTCTGACGCTGTCAAGGAGAATACATTTAAACCCCCACGCTGGCGTTCTGTCCTTGCCAAAAAAAGTGATCAAGGAAAATAAAATGCAAACCGTAACTGGAAACTTTCCGATCTCACCAACCCACGTGGGTTCGGAGGCTGCCGTTGGTCCAGAACGGTCAGGAATAAGAATAAAGGCGGGGGGGGGAGTATTGGGGAGTGGGCAGAGGAGGGAGTAGACTCCTGCGCAAACATCCCCACCCAGGGCTCCGGACCTCGCAGTCCGGCAGTCCTGTCCGCCTGACCTCACCGGACACAGACGTCCCTACCCCCTACTCTGCCCCACACTGTCACAAAGAGGCAGAGTGGTCTGCACCGCCGAGATCCCGGCAGAGGGCCCGGACGCCCCCCATCCCGGGTTCGGAAAGTCTTGCTCCGCCGCCTGAGGGACCGTCGGGTGTGCGCGCCCGTCGCGCCTATCTTGGGGCAGGCACCACACCACTCCGCGGGGCTATTCCTAGAATTAGCGTGGCTCTCCTAGCCCTCGTAGGGGTCGCCGGCTGGAGAGAGCCAACTGGAGCGTCGGCTGGGGGGCGGCGCTTGCGCGTCTGCGTGGAGCAGGCCCTCTCTCTGCACGGGGAACCAGGTGTCAAGAGGTTACTCAGCTGTAGGCCATCGGCCTCTTCATCCCCAACAGCGTGCCCCAGGCCCCATTCCCCCTCGCCCTCCTCTCGACTTTTCGCGTCCGACGACGAGGCGAGCCGCGCTCGGAAAACTCAGGCCAATGCGAGTTCAGGTCCGAAACCTTTCCAGAGCTCAAGAGGTGCCCCTAGATCTCTCACCCAAGGAGGTCGCAACTGGGCGAGCGTGGGGGGACAGGCTCCTAGAGCTGGAGGGGCGCGCCAAAGTAGCCTCGGTGGGAAATAATTCGGACAAACGTAAACTTGCGTACTGCCGGCGCCCCGGTAGGTGCAGGGTCGGAGGTTAGGGGAGAGCTTCCTGGGGCAAGCTGTGCCCGCCCCACCCCCGACAGCCACCGTCCAGCAGCCGGAGTGAGCGCCCACCGTGTCTCAGCCCGGTGCCTGCCCTCACGGAGCTCCCCGTCTACCTGGGGATGCTCCTTACACGCTAAGCACGAGCTCAGAGAGTGGCTTGGGGCTGCAAGAAAATACGGCATGGCAGTGTTGTGATGGGGAAGGGAAGACAGACAGCCAGGCCGAGGAGGTGGCGACACGAGAGGGTTTAGAAGAGAGACTCCCGCAGCCTCTGCCAGCGTCCCACGCCCAGCCGGCTACGGGGCCGGCAGGGTTAAGCCGCGGGCCGGCAGGGAAGTAGTCCCGGCCGGACGCCCAGCCCCGCCCCGCCGGCGGAGGGACGCATCACGCAGGGGTGGGGAAGTCGGATCCGTGCGCAGGGTTGCTAAGGGTGAAACTTTTCATTGACTTTGCTCACTTCTGGCCGGGGCGCGGGAGGGTGCGGGTCGTGCGCAGAGAAAAGCTAGTGGCTCGGGCGACGCGGGGCCAGGAGGGCCAGGTCGTCCGCCAACTACAGCAGTCCGTCCTCCGCCCCGCGACGSGAGCCACCCTCTGGGCSGCCATCCTAGTGTTGTYGCCGCGGGCCGGCCTGCCCGCGGTCCGTCCGCCCCTGCCGSCGAGTCCGACCTCCAAAAAAGCTGAAAGAATTATATTAGGAGTTATAGCCCGTAACCTCCTCCTTGCTCCCAGCCCTCAACGACGAAAAGGACACATCGGCCCCCGGCCTCGCAGCGCCGGAGAAAGCAGGGAAAGCGACCTCTGCCCCGGGCCCAGGACCACCCTGGCAGGAGAAGACACCTGGCGACCGGCAGCCCATCCCGCCGCCGCGGAGACCCGAGTGAGTGCTGGGGCATGCGAACCGGGGGGGGGGGGCACCCTGACACCCACCGGCTGGACAGCCTGCCCCACCCCGCCCTTGCTCCGGCTCTTGGCTTTGCTGGACACTCCACGTCGCTGTCACCCCCTCCCCCGCCCGGCCAGCATTTTCCTCGCCCCTTCTATCTTCCTTTTAGAACCGCCCACATTTTCCCCTTGCTCCTCTACCCTGTCTCTGATCCTGAGGTACCCAAGAGCCTCCTTCTCTCCCAGGTGGAAGAGTGGCCTCTCCTGGATGGAGTGCATTTCTTCCCTTCCTCCTCCCCCAGTTCTTATATCCCAGATACTCGCTAGATTTTCCTTGTTCCCCAAAGAAACATACCTCCCACTGCCACCGTTAAATAAATGAGAGGAAGGAAGGAGATCCAGGCCTTTTTCTGCTTTTCCCGTGTGCATGGAATGGGGTTGCTAATTAATATGGTTTATTTCTGGTTCTGTGGAGCCTGAAGGATGAAGGTTGAACACCCTTTCTTGGGGATGAGACCGATTAGAGGGAACTGTCCTTGAACCACTCAGCCAGAATTCATTTCAGCTTGAAATCTTTATCTTCTTGGCTTAAAGGGAAAACTGCGCGTAAAAAAGTACCAGTAGGACTATGCCAGCTAGTGGATTCTACTTGATCTACATAGGGTCCCTGGGAAGAAGGGCCCTACTCCTAAACTCCTTTTCCAGTCCAGAGAATGGATTGTGTGCCCTTGACCAGGTATCTGGGGAGGAGGGAGGGAGCAAATGGAAGGCACAGCCGGCTGACCCTCTCCTCCCCTTGGAGCAACCGAACCCCACACGCGAACCCCACACGCGGGGCTTCAACTTGAGGACCAGCAGACAGGGTCTTGGGTGCCTTCTCATTGTCCAACCTATTGTTTTTTACCTTCCTACCCACCCCACCTGGGAGTAGGTCCCTCATTTGTTTCTCAGTAGAAAAATATCCCTCTTGCTTTCTTGTCGCCTGCCCYCTTCCCTCTCCCAAGCATTGAGAAAAGCAGCTTGTGTGGGAGGCCGGATTAGGGAGGTTTAACACCCTGTAGGGAAGCTTTGCAGAGGATCTGGTCCTAGAGTAGCCCTTGCAGTGGGAGGAGCCTCACACAGAATTTTAAATTAGGTGTTCAGGTTTCCGATTGCAGTTTTTCCTTCCCAGCTGAGAACCTTCCCCATTTCCCTGGAAATCCTTTTTCAGACTTGGATTAGAAGTGGGTAAGGTTTGAGCCCCCCTGACGTTGGGCCTTCTGATTGCCGACAGAACTGGGTCCAGTTCCTGCTTTTCCTTTCCTGACTGTGGGGTGCTGGAGCCGAGCCTACTGGGCATTAAGTGGAAAAGGCTCCTTTCTCTTTGAGTCCACCGTCAGTCCTTACAGCAACCCCAGACAGTGGCTGTCCACCCTTGGAATTCAGATTCAGCGGCAGGGGTGGGGGTGGGAGGGCGAGGCCTTGTCTATCCCAGCCCACTCCTTTCTCCCAGAAAAACTCATTGGAAGCAGGTCCCTAATTCAGCAGTCTTCGGAGGCACTGGAGAGAGATGGGGGAAGTTCTGCCCTTCGTACGGACGCGGTGGGTGGTATGAACCGCGAGCTGGCCTAGTGGGTTGATTTGGACGAACTGTCTTGCGATGGGAGGGGGCGACCGCCGCGCAGTGCGCATGTGCGTCAGAAACTTTTCCTCGGCTCCGACCCTCGGCCAGGTCCCCCTGCCGGGCATGCGTGGTTGGGCCGGCCGACCGGCCCGCGGAGCGCGCAGGGAAGTGTAGTGTGCGCAGAAGTAGGTCACGCGTCCGCGCGCGCCCGGACGGCCTGGGCGCTGCGGCTCCCAGAGTGCAGAGCGCGCCGGCCTCCGAGGCCGGGGAGGCAGGCGCGCCCTTCCTTGGGAGAGCCCTGCGGGTCGCGCCCAGTGATGCCCGAGCCACGTTTGGGGTGGGTGGGAGTGAGACCCAGCAGGGCGTGGTCAGCACCAGCCCTGGAAACGTTCAGCCCACGCGCCCGTCAGGCCGCTGCTTAGGGACCGCCGGTGGGGCGGGGCCTTGCGGTGACCTGCGCTCTGCAGACTGTCGGGACCCCAGGGCTGGCTGCCCTCTCTCTGGCCTTGCTCAAATCCARAGCATCCTATAGTGCTTGATTGTGGGGTGATGTCAGTGTTAAGGGTTTCAGGTGCCTGGATATTTTTATAGATTTGGGGCCCAGTGGATTCTTTCACCATTGTCCCTTCAACCCTTTTTAAAAACAACTGTTTTTTTGTTAAAAACTTGCTTCTCTTTCTTATTAGAATAAGATATACTCCATGCTTGTATAGATATTTCAAAATATTCTACTGTCATGTATAACTAAGAACAACAACAACAAAAAGAGCTTGTCTCCCTGTAATCCTTGCTAAAGCCCAAAGGTCTGCAAATTTGAGTCCAGCCTGGGCAATTTAGCCAGACCGTGTTGCAGAGTAAAGTTAAAAGGGCCTAGGGTGTATCTCAATGGTAGAGTGCTTGCCTAGCATGTGCGAGGCCCTGGGTTCCATCCACAATAAGGGGATCGGGATTTCTGTACAATAGTCCTCTTTGGAATCTGTGTAGACCGAGGCCTCCTTCAGCGTCTCCCCACATCTTTGCCTATAAACTTACTGTTTAAAACACAAGTCAGCAAAGGGATCTGAATCCAGGTTTAACCTTGTGGCTGAAAGTAAGCAAATTCAGGAGGATGAGATTGGTTGTGTGTGTGTGTGTTTTGTAGGAGAAATTGAACTTGGGGACCCTTAACCACTAAGCCGTATACCCCACCCCTTTTTAATGTTTTATTTTTATTTTAAGACAGTGTCTCACTGAGTTGCTGAGGCTGACTTTCAACTTGCAGTCCTGCCTCAGCCTCCAGAGTCCCTGGGATTACAGGCTTGCGCCACCACAAGGAGGATAAAATTCTTGGAGAAACTAGACAGAAATTGCATTTGTAATTTTAATACACTGTCAGAAGTGGAGATTTTGCTATTAAAAATTTATCCCCACACACACAAACACACATATGCTTTTTTGCCACCTTTCTGAAGCCTTTTAGTTGAAAAAGATTTCAAGAATTTTCTGCAGCTTAACAAATCTACCTGTTCCTTTTATTGAAGGATAGGTATTTCTAAGCACTCTACCACACTTTCATAAATATTTTATATAGAAGCTCTAGAAATTGTCCATAGCTTTGTAAAAAAAATAAAATAAAGAACTCATCCAGTGATCACACTTATCTTTAGCTGAAGACAAGATAGCACCAGTGCTTTAATCCTGTCCCATAAGCTTCTTGAAGTCAAAATTAGAGCCTGAGCTGATAGAGCATAAAATCTCATTCTGGTCATCCAGCATTTTTGTAAGGTTCCACCCCACAACCATCTGGCCTGGCCTGTTCTCCAGTTAAAGAGGCAAAGGTAGCATTATACACTTCCTTATTTGTGCAGCAACATCACTGAGGTATAAATTGGTGTGCAGCTTTAGTTGCTTATGCTGCAGAAAATGGTTCAGTAGGCAGGGCTGATGACAGTGGTTCTATTGTATATTGGGTGGGAGGCCTATTTCCCAATGACTTTGGCCTGCACTTAAAATGCTCCCATTTTGAGGCTGAACTGTTTGGGGCTGTTTATTTGGAAGGCAATTATACAGTCAAGTTTGAGTAGGCCTAGAAAGGCATAGAAGTCCTTTCTTTGGTCTGGGTAGAATACCAAGAGGCACATTTTAAGAGGCCATAGTATGCCTTAGGAGAAGTGTCATATGTTGACTTCAAATCGTTTTACTTTTCAAAACTCTTTGAAAACACTGGCTTTAACTCCAAGCCCATTCTTGGGATCTGATGCCAACTTTCTTCACATTTTTTGTTTCCTCCATGTTGAATAACTCTAGTTCACCATGATGACCTTTTTGTTTGTTTTGTTTTGTTATGCTTGGAGGTTAAACCCAGGGCTGTTCTACCTTCATTTATTTTTGGTCCCAGGGATTGATCCCAGAGGTGCTTAACCACTGAACCACACATCCCTAAGCCCATTTTATTTTTTATTTTGAGACAGGATCTTACTTAAGTTGCTAAGGCTAACCTCAAACTTGTACTCCTCTGCCTCAAGCATCCTCAGTCACTGGGACTACAGTGGAACACCACCACATCTGGCCCTTTTCATTTTATTTTATTTATTTTTAATTTATTTTTATTTTCATTTAAATATTTATTTTTTAGTTGTAGTTGGACACAATATCTTAATTTTTTATTTATTTTTATGTGGTGCCGAGGATTGAACCCAGGGCCTCTCGTGTGCTAGGCAAGCACTCTACCGCTGAGCCATAATCCCAGCCCCCTTTTCATTTTATTATGAGAACATGGTCTTGCCAAATTGCCAAAGCTGGTCTTGAACTTGTGATCCTCCTGCCTCAGCCTCCCGAGTTGCTGGGAATAGAGGTGGGTGCCACCATTCCTGACTCAAACCTCCATTCTTAAGCCTGGTATGATGTTGTACATCTATAGTCCCAGCTACTCAGGATCACTTGAGYCCTGGAGGTTAAAGGTCAGCCTAGGCAAAATAGCAAGACACTATTTTTTTTTTTTTTTTTAAGCCACCATTCTTGGGAGGAGTCCCATGGTCGTATAGCTAACTTTGTATCTGGTGATGAACCAATCTTCAGAAACAGAAGTCCCTTTTTACCATTCTTCTCTTTAAATCTAAAGGGGCTGGGGATATCACTTAGTTGGTAGAGTGCTTACCTCACATGCACAAGGTCCTGGGTTCAATCCCCAGCACCATTTAAAAAAAAAAAAAAAAAAAGAACAAAGAAACCGAAACCCTGGAAATGATCTGTCTTAATCATGAATAGACATTTGAAGAAATTTACAGATCAAAGATCAAAGTCTTTTGGAGGCTGGGATGAAGAGGAAACCAGGGTTTCCTGAGTACTGAGCATTCTTTGGGCAGGCTTGGGAGAGGGACCAGTCACTGACTCCCCATGTGACCCTCTCTGTTTCCTCAGACCTGAAATGAGCTATGGTGCTCTAGATTGATCCAGTGCATCTTCTCAGATACCTTCATCCCAGAATATTTTTCTTGAGGATTTAGTCCTAAAAGTGTTCCTAGGAGCCAAGGGCCCAAGTCTAAGAATGAACAGGGAAGTGTGTTGCGACAGGTGTTCAGAAAACTCAAGACCCCCCAAGCCTACAGCTGGTACCTGGACACTTCATGCTGAAACCAGAAGGAACTTTAATTCACAATCCAACACTGAGTCTTTCACAGGACCGAAGTTGCCCTTGACAGGTCATGGATCAGTCTCATCTCTGTGCTGAGCTCAGCAGCCTAGACTTGCCCAGAGGTCTGGTTAGGGAGATGTCTTGGCCCTGCCTTCCCTTAAAGATTGCCCTTTTTTAGTTTATTTTCTCCCTGAGCATGAGTTCAGGAACCACCCTTTTGGAGAAAGTGAGAATAGAATCACTAGCTCTTAGGACTTAAGGATCATGTTCCTGAAACATGAGGCTGGCCCAGACCTACGGAGTAAAACTTTTTTGACCTCAGTGGGATTGGCTGTGAGAGAGTCCCAAAATAACAATCTGAGTGTTTATCTTGGGCTGCCTTCTCCTCCAGCATCTCCAAACACTTGATAAATCTGATCCAGTGCYGAGAACAGGTGGTCAGACAGTCCCTGGGAAACAGAGTGATGATGGGTCCCCAGCTGGAGACTACAGGGTAATGGAAATTTTCTTCCTTCTGCCATCATCCTCATCACTTACACCTTCTACAGAAACTACAGAGATTCCCTCAGGCCACACCAGTGCTGCTCGTGTGTGTGTGTGTGTGTGTGTGTGTGTGTGTGTGTGGTGTGTGTGTGTGTGTGTGTGGTGTGTGTGTGTGCGCGCGCGCTAAGGATTGAACCCAGTGCCTCACGCACGCTAGGCAAGTGCTCTGCCACTGAGCTACAGCCCCAGCCCTACACTGTAGTTCTTAAATCAGTTCTGCAAACCCAGCCTGAGCCTGAAAGCCTCACACCCTTGGGGCCCAGGGTAACAGATGGATATGACTGAAGTCCAAGCCCCAGAGAAAAGTTGGCAGTGTTCCTTCATGTTCAGTGACCTGTATCCCTTTCCATGTAAGGAGGACAACTAAAAATTTTAAACTTACATCTTAGCCTGTGACAGTTTGGGGACATGACTTCACCAAGATATTACAGAGACAGCAAAGTCCTTCCCTTCTTCTGATGAATTAGGAGCCTGGGTTTATTCATTTATTTATTTTTGCTTGGGTTGTGTGTGTGTGTGTGTGGGGGGGTGTATCATTCGTACAGGGAACCAAGTTCTCATAATGGTGGAAAACAGCATTCCGTATGTGTTTATTATTAAAAAAATAGCTAACTTTATCAAGTGTCTACTACTGCCAAGTGTAGCATAAGGCAATTTATATCCTCCAACTCCATGTCAGACACATTTTCCCAGTGAGAAATCTAAGGCTCAGAAGGAAGTAACTTGTCTACAATTGTATAGTTGAACCCAGCCACTGGTAGAATGGTAGTTGATCCAGAGTTGGTGTTTTTTTTTTTTTGTCTGTCTTTGGCCACTTCCACCTGTCTGCATATATATTCATGGTACTCCTCTCCTTCTTTCTCATTTCCCAGAACCATCTGGAGCCCAAGTCTGCCCATCTTACATCTGCAACCACTTCCCTTGGCCTGTGCACGTGCCCTGCACTGATTCTCTGCCTAGGAAAGGACCATGCAGTTAGAGATTAAAGTGGCCCTGAACTTCATCATCTCCTATTTATACAACAAGCTGCCCCGGCGCCGGGCAGACCTGTTTGGAGAGGAGCTCGAGCGACTTTTGAAAAAGAAATATGAAGGCCACTGGTACCCTGATAAGCCACTCAAGGGCTCTGGCTTCCGCTGCGTCCACATTGGGGAGATGGTGGACCCTGTGGTAGAGCTGGCTGCCAAGCGGAGCGGGCTGGCAGTGGAGGATGTGCGGGCCAACGTGCCTGAGGAACTGAGTGTCTGGATTGACCCTTTTGAAGTGTCCTACCAGATTGGTGAGAAGGGGGCTGTAAAAGTGCTGTACCTGGATGACAGTGAGGGCAGTGGTGCCCCAGAGCTGGACAAGGAGATCAAGAGCAGCTTCAACCCTGATGCTCAGGTATTTGTGCCCATTGGCAGCCAGGACAGCTCTCTGTCCAATTCCCCCTCGCCGTCCTTCRRCCARTCACCCAGCCCYACYTTCATCCCTCGCTCTGCCCAGCCCATCACTTTCACCAYYGCCTCTTTCGCTGCCACCAAATTTGGCTCTACCAAGATGAAGAAGGGTGGTGGGGCATCTAGTGGTGGGGGCGTGGCCAGCAGTGGGGCAAGTGGCCAGCAGCCACCACAGCAGCAGCCTCGCATGGTCCGCTCACCCACCAACAACCTGCTGAAGCACAAGAGCCTCTCTTTGTCTATGCATTCACTGAACTTCATCACAGCCACCTCGGCCCCTCAGTCCCAGCTCTCACCCAATGCCAAGGAGTTCGTGTACAATGGTGGTGGCTCGCCCAGCCTCTTTTTTGATGCGGCTGATGGCCAGGGCAGTGGCACCTCAGCACCCTTTGCGGGTGGTGGGGCCAGCACCTGTAACAGCAGCAGCTTCGATATGGCCCAGGTATTTGGAGGTGGCACCAACAGCCTTTTCCTGGAGAAGACACCCTTTGTGGAAGGCCTGAGCTACAACCTGAACACCATGCAATACCCCAGCCAGCCGTTCCAGCCTGTTGTGTTGGCCAACTGACCACTCCTCCACCCAGAGGGCCAAGAGCACCCACGACCACAGATAAGAAAAAGGAAAGGAGAGGAAAGGCCAAAAAAAAGAGGAAAAGAAAACTGTACAAAAATATTTCCAATCTTCTCACTCTCGCTTCTAGAAAAAAGATCCAGCCCAGGCATGGAGTGGGAGGGGGCTCCTGAAGCACCGAATCGTGGTTAACTCAACCCCCCAACCCCGACCGTTTTCCTGCCTGCTTCTGATTTATTTGGTTGGTTTGGGTTTTGTATTTTTTTTTTACATGTAGTTTTCTATATAACATCTTTAATTAGTGGCTTCCTGTGCTAAGAATGGTCCAGATGTGAATTGCTGCTCCCTGTTCCCTCCTCCCTCCTTCACACTCCTTTATGATTGGTGTGTCCAARCTCACAGGGAAGGAAGAGCTGCAGCTGGGGCCAAACCCCCCCCAAGTAGGGAGAGGCTGGCCCATTTCACTGCCTGCCCTCCAGCTATCCTCTCACTCAAAGCCATCCAACCTCAGCAGGACTTCTTGGGCCCTGCCACCCAAATAGGTCTGACCCCAGCCCATACTCCCTCTCAGGCTGGGCCACAGGGAGTTTCCGGCTAGCCACTTGACACCCTCCCCCAAGAGCTAATGTCTGTGACTACAGGGAGGTTTGCACTTTGTCTTGTTGAAATCCTTTCATCTCTGTGCTGTGGCCCCATCCACCCACCGACCCCACCAGGCCTAGACGATTATCATGGCTCTGGACACCCAGCATCCTTCATAAGCATGGCCTCTTTCTCTAATGCAGCCCTTCTTCCCTGGGCCTGAGGCTGCGGGCTAGGAGGTGGGAATAAGGGGTGTGTGTGTGTGTGTGTGTGTGTGTGTGTACATGTAAACGTGTGTGTACATGTACACCCCTGTGAGTATATGTGGTTTGCTGTCCTGTTCTAAAGGATTCCAAGCCATGTGAAACTTCCCTCTGGATGTGATTCTGGGTTGCAGCAAGTGCTTATTTATGTATGAGGTTGGGGAATGGGCTGGGGGTGGGTTGTCAGTTTTTTGTAAGGCAGTATGGAGGGGGTGACATTGGCTGAGCCTAAGGCACTCCCAGAGGAAAGCACTGCAGAAGGAACTGGTTTCCAGACTGTAGAGGAATCTGCACTTTTGTTTGTTTTTGACCAAAAAAAAAAGAAAGGAAAAAAAAAGAACTATACACACACACATACAAACACATATATATAGGGAAAAAATATATATATACACAGACAATATACATATGTGTGTGTGTGTGTATATATATGTATATATATACATATATATTCACACACACACATAAGCTCTGAAGGGTAGAAGGAATATCCAAGCCTTTGTTGCCTAAGAGAAGTCCCTAGACTTCAGTGACCCTGTTGTGCCACCTTACCCAGGATGGGAGCTGCTTACCTGAGTTCCATTGGTGGGGAGTTGGGGGTGGGGAGATAGGACCCACATTTGGAGTCAGTCAGTGCCTATCGCTGGCAGTCCTGAGCCTTGCATTGGTCTTCTGGTTGTGTTATTTCACTCCATCTGTGTCCCTACCTGCTAGTTTCTCTCTTGTCATCCCCCTCACTACCCTTACCTTGCCTACCCTGGACCTTGATGCTATGAGGCGTGGTCTCCTGGGTTGGACAGGCATGTGGTCCTCCCAGCCATTGTACTTGGGATACAGAAGGGCACTGGTTCCCCTTCCTCTGCAGAAGAAAGGGTTTTTTCCAATCCATGGCATAGCTTCTGAGCCACAGTGCTTTGGTAATGGGGCACTTGGCATCAGGGCTCCATCACCAGAAAGCACCAAAGTCCTGGTACCCCACCCCATTCCATTCTTCCCGGGACCCCAAGTGGGTACTGCTGTGGCAGTGAGTCTGGCCCAGACAGGCACTGCCGGCCTYCCCTCCCTATAATGGGCACCAGCTCTACCTCCCCATCAGGGCAAGGCCCTGGCTTCTCAGCCCAGCACCATCTGTTCCTCTAGACCTCTTGGGCCAGCCCAGTCTGGGTCACCCTGTCCCTCATCCTCAGCTCCCATGCAGGTGACAGGCCCAGGCAGACAGCTCCTCTCTGGGAAAGGTTGGATGCTGCCTTATCCYCCTTCTGGCCCCTCCTGTGCACACACACACTGGTACCACCCGCACCCAGGCCAGCTCATTTTTCACCATATGCAGGGAGAGGGGGAGACCAATCCCTTCCTGTTTCTTGAAATACGAAGAATAATGTGTGTTCAGGAGCATGGCTCCTACACTGGGCTTTTGGGCCTGGTTCCGTCTGTCTCGTCTCAAATCTAGGCATTTTTGCTTCAATTTTATTTTTTTTAAGAAAACAAACAAAAATCTGCACTAATTTACCTGGTTTCGTAGGAAATTTTTTTTTATTTTTTACATTTTTGGTGTCCGTTTGTATTGAATAATTTGCTACATTTGTAAAATGTAAGAGGTATATATAATATATGTATATTTCTAACGTAAGAAACGTAATTTTTTCTTTTCAAGGTTTTTTCTTAAAAAGAGGAGAGAAATTGATATTTTTTCAGGAAAACAAACTTTAAAATAAAAAAAGAGGAGAATAAACCTTTTTCTCCCCTTTCCCCATCCTCTGTCTATCCCTCTTTCCCAGGAACAAATCTAAAGATGGATTATCTTGTGAAGAATGTAAACTGTCAATCCAGAATGATGTCTTTTTCTCAATGCAGGGAGCTATAGATTCTCTAATTCTCCCTAAGAGTGGGAGGGGGCATTGAAGCAACTGTGGAGAGGAGCCAGGGGAGCAGGGTAATGACTTTTTTTTTTCTTTAGTGAAGGAGGAATACAATCAAGTGTTTTGTATTCAGAATGTTGTGCAATATTTTGGAATGGGACATTGGTGTGTTAGAGATTTAGTTTAAAAACAARATTGATCAAATCTGTACAGTTTATATTGTTCCAGATTTTTTTAAGTTTGTATTAAAAGCATGATATATAATAGCCCTTTCCTTGCTCCTAACTTGTTCTGTTTATGGGGTCTCTTGGGATGGAGAGAATGGCAGTAGCCCAACCCCTACCCCTGGGTGGACATAACTGACTTCTTAGTATGCCCACTACCACTGTCCTTTTCCATGTTGCAGACAGGTTCCTTGAGGCTAATAGACATTTTCTTGTTTGGTAGTTGCTGGGGCCAGGACTGGAAGCAGAGCCTTAAGATTGGGGTTCCTCTTTGTGGCTATGCTAGGAACTGCCTATTCCTTGGAGAAGGAGGGAGAGGTCCACCTCCAGCCTACTCTAGATATAGTATTTGCCTGTCCAAGCCACTTGCTCTTTGGATATGGCCAGAATGAGGAGAGCCCACCTAAGCCAGGTTTTGTCCAAACACCTGATACTCGGGTTCTCTGTCCTTTTCTTGGGCCAGACACCTCCCTAGCTGCTTTAGAGGTGACAACCTGTCTGAGCCCAGGATTGGAAAGCAGCCCACTTTTCTGCCACTGATTTCTTTGAGATCTCAGCCACCTCCTCCTTCTCCCAGGACCTCAGGCCATGTTTTTCTTCACAAAGTCAGGGCGCATTAATGCTGTCCAAGGTCTTTGGGCCCAACTGGACCCAGAGTATTTGTGAAGGTACTTGTTGAACCTTTTGCGGGGGGAGGGAGGGATCCCAGGGATTGAGCTCAGGGGCACTTAGCCACTGACACATACCCGGCCCTTTTTTTTTTACATTTCATTTAGAGACAGCCTCCCTGTTGCTGAGGCTGGCTTTAAACTCATGATTCTCCTGCCTCAGCCTCTCTAGCCGCGTATTCCTCTGTTCCATCATGCGGGGCTTATTTTTGTTGAATCTTATCTCACCCTCATAGCAGCCAGTGGTGAAGGCCAAGTTAGACTGCCTGCTTAAATTCACAAAACTAGTAAGTGGTAAGGCTGAGATTTTGATTTGATGTGTCGTATTCAATCCAGTGGTCTTGAGCAGTGTTARGCCCTTGTCAGAGAACAAACCAGTGCCTGTCTTTCCAGAGCTGATCTCACACATATTTGATAAGCTGTAATACTGTTTTGGGGTATGATGATGGGGATGGGGAACATTAACACTTTCAAACTGGGGCAGAGGGCAAGCAGATTTATAGTGCATCAGGAGGGTGGGGTGTCCCCAGGCTCTTAGCTTTACAAATAAGCCAATACAGCCCTCCCCTCAACCCCTGCAAGCATGTGGCACTTCATGTATCTAGAAGCTCTGGGGCTAAACGTCCAGCCTCTAGACAGCGTCCCAGGAGCCCTGGTGTCTAGCTCCTTCCACTGGCTGCTTCCCACAGAGTGTCAAGCAGAGGAAAGCCCCTGGTCAAGACACAAAGCCACTTAACAGGGGTCTCATACTTCTGTCAGAGAGAAAGCCAACCTGTCTTGTGTCCAAGCTGTCCACCAGTCATGGGCCCCAGAGCAGAGGTGGGATGGCCCCTCACCTCATTTCTATTTATAAACATAGGTCCTGACTCAGCAGGTGCCAGGGTCACCTGTTCCCACTCTGTCACACTCAGATCTGAAGGGCCAGGGCAAGCTCCCACCCACATGCCAAGACTAACTTCTGGGACAACCAGTCCCTCCAGCTCATAGTGTGGACACTACATATTTGAACAAACCCCCAACTCCTCCATGGACTGGACACAGAACTAACTCACTCCATTCATGCCTTGTTTTATTCACCAATTGTTCACTGGCTCTGATGAAAAGTGAGCTGGAGACCTGGAGAGGTAAAGGGCTGCCTGGGACCCCTGCCCTATAGCAGGGGAAGAAAACATTCTGGCAGACTCAGAGTTCCTCAAAAAAAAAAAAAAAAAGGGCATCATTTGTGCACTTTAAAAACCATCCCTGAGTATCCATCTACTCTGTTCTGGAAACAGTTGTGGGGGGTGGGCACCTTCAGGACACTATACACAAGGGGCCTAGGAGCCCACAGATCCAAGAAGGCTTCTTGGAGGTGCGAAGAGAGTAGAAGTCAGCCACAAAAGAAAAGGCAAGGCTACAGCCCTCCCAGGGGAGCCCCATCAGGAAGACACCCATCAGGGGTAGGGGAAAAGCCTGGATCCTGCTCCTTAGAAGCACAGGTACCACCAGGCACG